TTTCTTTCTTTCTTTCTTTCTTTCTTTCTTTCTTTCTTTCTCCTTTCTTTCTTCCTTTCTTTCTTCCTTTTTTCCTTTCTTTCTTTTCTTTCTTCTTCTTTAATTTTGTGAAGTTATTAACTTAGTAAACATGGCTCTATGAATTAAACATGTGTCTAACTCCCTAGACCCCTGGGAGTTTCTCATGATACAGTGTCTTTATTTCATTGCACATTATATTTCATTGCACATTAAGAATTGACTCATTTTAATCGTACATAGGATCTTGCTAAAGCTATTTTGCCATAGAATAAATATAATTTTATTTGTACTACAGAGTATGAAAGTCAAAATAACAAAGTAATAGAAAAATAATTTGATGTTATACTTTAAAAAGGCTACGAATGGAAATGGCTACTTAAATTTTAAACATTAATGACCCAAGTGGCAGAAAGACCATGACATATTGGCCTGAACTGTTTTTCTCCAGAGATGAGTAAATCTGATAATTATGACTTTGAACTGGTGAAGCATGGTGCTTTTGCCAGGCGGAAAAAGGGAAGATGCACAAGCAAACGTGGAGAAAACCGTGAGTCCAGTATTCTGCTTGTCTCCTCTCAGTATGCCGAGGTGAATCTTAGAAACTGTGATCGACTTGGTGATAAGCACGCAGTTTCCTTTACCTTCATGAGGAGAGCAGTGTTGAGGTTAACTCTGATATGCTCTTGGAAGATATAATAAAATTTAGCAGAAACTGTTGAGATTAGGATCTTTTCATGCCCTAAAAATGATGAAATGATCATGACAATGACAGTTGAGACACGCAGTTTCTAAGGGATTGCTCAGCAACTAACCTCAGGGAGGAGTAAATAGAAATGGAAAACAGAAGCAAAAAGAAACACAAAATGCCCTTCAGCTATGTTCTTAAACAGTCTGAAAGAGATGTCTTGATTGCTATTCACAGAGATGTTTCTGAGTGGCGAATAAGATGCGTTCTCTGTCCTTTATCAAGCCTGAATATCATGAACAATAAAGCCTGAAATAGTTTACACAGAAGGAAAAACAACAGGCTTCTCCCACCTATAAACTTTGATTAAATGTTAAAAACAAATTATTAAATAGCATCACTTTACAATGATTAATTACGGGAATGAAAATGTGCTATGGGTAATAATCAAAGGGGAAAGATTTTATGATCACATGCATAGTGTTGAAAAGGTGTCAGGTAAAAATCAGTATGAATTCCTAATTAAAAAGAGCTTAATTTTAAAAACCTCTAAAATATAAATACTGCCTTTGAGATAGATATATATATATATATATATATATATATATATATATATATATATATATTCAAAAGCTGTCATTATGTTTATTGGTAAATGCTAGCAGCATTTTCATTGTATTTAGAAAAGGACAGGAACTTTTACTGTTGTTACTGTTGAGTCATATTGACTGTTCCGCTGCTGTTAACCAACATGAATAACCAAGAAAAGGAAAAAAGTAAATGATATGAAATTAGAATTAAAAGGCAAAATTGATATTATTTGAAAAAATGTGGGATTTAAAATATTTTTAAAAACCTTCAAAAGCCTCACTCCAAAATACGATGAACAATAAGGAAACCTAATAATGTGGACTTGATTGAAATCAGATATAAAAATCAACTGTCATACTAAATACAAAAACAAGGAAAACGTGACAAAGGAAAAATGCCGTATTTATAAAACCAAATATCAGAAAAAATAAACTTTTCAATTGAAAACTCTAGAAATAAATTTATTAACTTAAAGTGGTACTGATGAACGTAAAGTAAGACATGCATAATGGAAATAGAAATTATTCAAGGTTGAAAACAAACATTTTCAAGATGTAAATTATCTCTCTACATATACCTTTACTGTGATTCTATTGAAAAACCAATGTACCATATTTTTTAAGTGACAGGTTCCTGGAGAGCTGAGTTTAAAGTTCTTTAGGCACATATGAAATGTAATGATGGGGAAAATAGTCTGAAAAAGAAATGTAAGACAATATTGTGGGCACTATCAAAGACTCCAGCGCATTATAAAACTAAGAAAATTTTACATCTAGTTTACATGGAGGGATGAATTAAATAATATAGGAATAAATGTAAATATAAATTATAATGTATTATTTGCTAAAGGTAGGATTTCATATCAATGAGAACACACTGATTTATTCAGCAAATATGTCAGAAAAATTCAGTGCCCACTTGGGAAGAATTTTTTTATAAATTTAAGTTCCTACATCATTTATTACACACACAAACACACACACCAAATAAACCAAAGAAAGAAGGAACTCATATAATATTATGAAAGAGAATGGGCATAACTTAATTTTATAAACTCAGAATAATGAAGGCATTTTTATTCAGATCACAAGCCATAAGCCATAAGAACCATATGCCATAAAGGAAAGTTTGATCAAGTCAACCATTATCCATTTTAGCACCCCAAAATTACCATAAATAAAATTAAAACAGAAATAGTACCTGAGACATGTATTTGCAAAACATATGGCAAGAAATGAACTAATATTCTTAACCTGAAAAGTAAGAAACAAATCAGCTATTTAATATAAACAGGAGTCTCAGAGAAGTAAAATAAAAACAGTATTTAACCACAATAAAAGATGTTTAATCTTATTCATAACAGGAAAAAAAAGTTAAATTTTTTAAAATAATACTTCTTATCAGATTTACACATTTAAAAATGTGAGTAATAAGTAGTGTGGATGAAGTTGTGAGAAAACAGGCTTTTAAATTTATTTTTGGTACTATATAAATTGGTAGAGCTTCTTTGGACTAGAACTTTCAATCATTTCAAAAATTTAAAATGCAAATGCCAGTTGGCCCAGCAACTGCCTTTTTGGGAATTTCTTCTAGGGAGGTATTAAAAATTATGCACAACCGTGTATGAAATGTTAGTCATAACATTGTACTTAATAACAAAAATTAAGAAACAATTTAAATATGTATTGTAAAAATTAAAAATCTGCCAAGAATTAGTTTTTGCCTATTTACCAATGAAACACAGTGTAAACAGCTATTTATAAAAATTTGATAATTTTGTAAGACATGATATGGAATAATCACTAGCATATTTTCTTATGTGGAAATATTACCGAATATTTTGTTTGTTTCTTAAATATGTGTTTTAAAAAGGGAGTTGGAGGGAACTGTCCATATTTCTTATTGTATCTTCATGGAAAATTTTAAGTTTTAAAAATGAGAACTGTGATTTATTCTAAGGGAGGACTAGGGAACTCAAAGAGAGGAGTAGAAAGGGATATTACATTTTTATACTCTTATTTTTTAATAACTTACAAAGTACTTTTTTTACCTTTTCTGAGAAAAATAATTAAGGAGAAGCACGAATATCATGCTTCCCTCCCATAAACAAACACTTCTAGCGTTTGTATTAAACATGAAGCTACCAGAACCCTTTATCTTTTTTCTTCATCTTTCTCATTCCTTTTTTTTTTTTCTTTGACAGCATCTCCATCTTCCTTTGCCAGATCCGTTGCTGTAGCCATGGCCATCCGTTTCCTTATAACAGTAATGCTAGGCAGTGCCATGATCATAAATTGTAAGTGGTAACAGAGAAGTAAGTAGCAGCATTGTTCATCTAACAATCGTAATGCGTTACTTTGATTAGTATTCAGAAGCGCAGAAATATAAGCTAGCAATGTTGAATTTATTTTTCATTGAGCTTCCATTTTTGCTATTAGTTTAAAAATTTGTCAGCCCACTTTTGCGTGGACTTACCACTTACGAACAGCACAAACCCTGTAAATAACTATGATTATTTTAACAGCATTATTCAACCAAGGAACTCCGGATTCTCTGACAGGTAAGTGAAAATTTTCTAATATTTTGAAGCACAAACTACTGCATCGGTACATGCTGGGTACAGGCATGTATACAACGGCATTAACAAAAGACTGAAGGTGATTAGTTGTTATCCATAATTCGCTGTAGATTTATTGACTTATTTATAAAGAGGAAGTACTTGTAAAAAGCAAAGGACACAGTTTTGGCATCTCTCTCTCTATATATATACTTATATATAAATGTGTAGAGATATGTCATTGGGAATGGTCATGAGTTAGTTATCTGGAATTTTGGGGTTGGAATAAACAAGATATTTAACTGTCTAGATGAAATCTTCTATAATGTTGAGACATGCAGGATTAATGATATAGTCTGTCTTTCTAGGAAGTTACTGTGGTCCATGTCCAAAAAACTGGATATGTTACAGAAACAACTGCTACCAGTTTTCTAATGAGAGCAAAAGCTGGTACCAGAGCCAAGCTTCTTGTATGAATCAGAATTCCAGTCTCTTGATGATATATAGCAGAGAGGATCAGGTTGAGTATTTGATTTTTTTTAATTTAAAAAAAGATTAAAAATTTTTTTTATTGAAGTGTAGTTGATTTACAGTGTGTTAGTTCCTGGTGTACAGAAGGGTGATTCAGTTATACATATATTATTTTTCATATTCTTTTATGTTATGGTTTATTACAAGACATTAATACAGTTCCCTGTGCTATAATGTAGGACCTTTTTGTTTATCTGTTTTATACATAGTAGTTTTTATCTGCTAATTCTAAACTCCCAATGTATCCCTCCCCCACCCATTTCTCCTTTGGTAACCATAAATTTGTTTTCCATTGATGAGTTTGTTTCTGTTCTATAGATAAGTTCATTTGTGTCATTTTTTAGATGCCACAAGTAAGTCATATCACAAGTTATTTGTCTTTCTCTTTCTAACTTAGAATGAGAATTTCTAGGTCCATCCATGTTGCTGCAAAGTAAACATTGATTTTATTTGTGGTTTCAAACAGGACTTCTTTAAATTGGTGAAGTCGTATCATTGGTTGGGACTAGTACAAATTCCAGCGAATGGTTCCTGGCAGTGGGAAGATGGTTCCATTCTCTCAGCTAATCAGTAAGTTTCTGTGCCAGGAGGTCTCTGTTTGTGGATTTGTCCCTCAGTTGCCCCTATGATCACTCAACTATCACATTTTCCTTCACACAATGCCAGGACGTCCCCATATTCTAATAGATTCAACAAAAAACCTCTTAGGGCCTAAATTTAGGAACTAGTGGAGCGGAGCAGCCAATATCAATAATAATGAGTAACATTATGTTGATGGATGTTTGGATAGTTCCCAGTTGTTGACTGTTATTACAAATAAAGCTACTTGCAATGAGCACTTATATGGAAGTCTTTGTAGGAACACAGGCTCTCCTTCTCCTACATAAATATCTAGGAGTGGAATGGTTGAACCATATGACAGATGTATGTTTAGCTTTTTAAGAAACTCTCAAATTGTTATCCAAAGAGGTTGTGCAGTTTTACATTCCTATTAGCAGTGTGGGAGAGTTCCAGTGGCTCTACATCCTAGTCAACACTTGTTATAGTCAGTCTCTTAAATATTAGTCATTATCATAGGTGTGTAGTGGTATCTCCTTGTGGTTTTAACTTGTGTTTTTCTAGTGGCTAATGATACTGGACATCTTTTTTTGTGCCTATTTACCATTTATTTAAAATTTTCTATTTATTGATTTCATTTTTATTTTTATTTGCTATCTCCTTACTCAGGGTGGACTTTTCTTTTCCTAGTCTCTTCTGGTGAAAGCTGACATAGTGATTTGAGACCTTTCCTTTTTTCTAACAGAAGCATCCATGCTATTAATATTTGAAGTGATTTGGCAACATCCCCATGTATTTTGAGATACTGTGTTTTCATTTTAATTTAGTTCAAAATAGTTTCTAAATTCCCTTTTGCATTAGTTTGAACTATCAATTATTCAGAACTGTGTTATTTAGTTTCTAACATTTGGGGATTTTCCAGAGATCTTTCTGTTACTAATTCTAATTTCATTCCATTTTGATCACAAAACATATTTATTATGAATTGGCTCCTTTTAAATTTATTGAGATAAGTTTTACGGACAAGACTTGGTCTATCTTTGGAAATATTCTATGTGCACTTGAACAGAATGTGTATTACATCATTTTGAGGTAGAGTGTTCTTTAATTTCAATTAAGTCAAGTTGGTTGAGAGTGTTGCTTAAGTCATATATCTCCCTTCTGATTTTCTGTTTTATCCATTATTGAGAGAGTTATTGAAATCTTAGATTATAATTATGGATTTATGTATTCTGCTTCCAGTTCGAATAGTTTTTGCCTAATGTATCTTGAAGTTCTATTATTAGGTGCATAAATATTTAGGATTGATGAATTTATGGCTCTGTCATTAGGCAATGAGTTCTGTCTCCCTAATGATATTTTGTGCTATGAAATCTTACTTTGTTAATATATATATTACTACTCCAGTTGATTAGTGTTAATATGGCAATAATTTTGCATTCTCTTATTTTTAACCTATGTGTATCTTTATACTATATCTTTATATGTATTGTAGACAGAATATAGCTGGACTGATTTTTCATAATCTGACAATCTCTGCACTTTTAAATTGGAAGTTTCAAACATTTACATTTAGTGTGATTATATGGTTAAGTTTAAGTGTATTTCCTTGCTATTTATTTTTTATTTGTCTAATTTGCTATTAATTCTTATTTTCCTTTTTTGGACTTTTAAGAATATTTTAATTTATTGTAAAATGTTATCTATTTTCTTGGCTTGCTAGGTATTACTATTTGTTTCATTTCAAAGTTTGCTCTGAAGTTTATTACATATATCTTTAACTGATCAATTGCTATTATGTCACTCATGTATAGTATAGGATTCCTGTAAAAGTATTCTCTCATTTCTCTCTTCCCACACTTTGTACTATTTTTTCCAGCTTTATCAAGATGTGACTGACATATAACATTGTGTACATTTAAGGTGTATAATGGATGATTTGATATACATATATATTATGTAATGATTACCACAAAAAAGGTTATTTAACACAACCATCACCTCACATGACTACAGATTTTTTTCTTGAGAATGTTTAGGATTTACTCTCTTAGCAACTTTCAGGTACATATATTGTTAACTATAGTCACCATGCTGTATATTAGATGTATTATTAGATAATATAGATATAATATAGATAATATTAGATATATATTATTAACTCTCTTGTATATATATTTGTTTATTTTAGAACTTTCCTCTTAATATATGTATTTATTGCTATAAACCTCCCTCTTAAAACTGCTGCTGCATGCTATAAATTTTTGTATGTTCTATTTTTATTTTCATTTGTCTCAAGACGCTTTTGATGTTCTTTTTCATTTCTTCTTTGACTTCATATATGAAGAGATTCCAGACTTTCTAAATCAACAAATTTCCAATCTATAAAAAAATAGCAACACATAATTTATAATAGAATGCATTTTTTACTTTTATTATCTGACTTGGCTATATTTTGCATACCTATGAATTAAGAAAGGGCAGGCATGGTCTTAGAATCTCCTGAAATGGTATTACTTCAGTACCTCTATTTAAATATTGTTTCATTTTTATATGTATGCATTAGTAAAGTTGTGAATATAATCTGTCCTTCTCTCCAATCTAGGCTAACAATGATTAAGATGCAGAACGGAACATGCGCAGTCTATGGCTCAAATTTTAAAGGTTATACAGAAAATTGCTTAACTCCAAACACATACATCTGCATGCAGAGGAGTGTATAAAAGCTTATAATTTATAAAATATAAAGAATCAAAAGAAATTCTCTGAGTGTTCTCCTCGAAGAAAACTTGGAAGAAAATGCCTCCAATAGTTATGTTAATTTTCATATACATTTAATAAATTATTGTTGAATTAAGTTTTAAATTGTAATTTTATTAAATATGCACAACTATTAAACTAACAAGGCTTTTAGGTTTTTTTCAAACTTGAAACTTTTGAAAATTATATAAAATTAAAGCTTGGAGAAGGGTATATGATGGTTCATTAAATTTGATGTATTTGAGAATTTTCAAAGTAAAAGCTGAAAGATCAACAAAGACACCCTCAACATCTCAAAACGCCACTACTAATTTAATATCGCACATGACATGTTCAGCAGAAATGGAATTACTCTGTGTAATAAGACTATGGCCCTGACTACTGCAAAGCACAGAAAACAAAAAGTCAAATTTGTAGAGGACCTATAAGGCTTCTAGGAAGAAAAAAAGGCATCTAAGTTGAAACGTGTAGAATGACTAAAAGTTGTCTGAGCACAACATTAGGGTAACAGAATTCTTGGCAAAGGAAATAATATTTGCAAATGTGGAGAAGTTGGAAGAGTCTGTGACTCTAAAGAAAGCAGGTTTGGGGGAAACAGAATGATGGAGAAGATGAGGAGGATAAGAAATGGTGGAGAGAGAAGCAGAGGCTAAATGATGCGCGGCTTTGTCCACTCTATTAATAATTTTGGATTTTATTTTAAGTGCAGTTGCCTTCTGTGTTTTGGGGAAAGGCATGAAGAAGTGGCTTGAACAGCACTGTAGGTGGAAATTAGTACCAAATGCCATGAAGAATATTATTTCTTTTTTACATAGTCAATCAAGGGCTAAGGAATGTGTTGGTCTATATTAGATTTTAAATTATTGTGTAAATATGTAGTATGCACCAACCCACCCCCGAAGAATGAACAAAATTTAACATTTTGTTACATTTGCTTGAAGATTTTATTATTAAATGTTTAAGTCGTAAAAAATATACAAAAAAATCCTGTACATTTGCTTTGGGGAATAAAAGCAATTTAAACTGAGCTATGCTTCTGTTTCTGGAACTAAAGGGAAGATACTAGGTCCACTGAAGGTAACAAAAAAAGTTTTATAATTTTGTTCTATAAAATATTATGGCTTAGAGAAAACATTGTTAAACCAACAATGGTAAAAACTCTGTAGAATCTTAGAATTCAGTGAAAATGAAAATCCTAAGAGAAAAGCAGCCACAGAAACTAGCTTTCATCCTGAAGGTTTGTAATAAACTTGGGGAACCTTAGCTTCTGCTGGTTGTCACGGAGTCCTGGAAACAGTCCTGGCCCAGAGGCCACCTAACCTAAAAGTTCTCTGTCTAAAACTGGGAACTTCAAAGGCTACAATCTCATATAAGGAAAAACAAATAAATCCTACATTTCAGGAAATAGTAATAAGGACCTTCGTTAGTGAAACAAACCAGAATATGTCACCCCAAAAGAGGCCTCTTTGACATAAAAGCTATTCTAAGCTAAAGATAATTAAGAAGCAGCTTGAAGCCATTGTTTCAAATATATCTGCACCCCCTGCCCATTGCATCATTATTCACAAAACCAAAACATGGATACAACCTAAGTGTCCATCAACCATCAGCAGATAAATAGATAAAGAAAATGTTATATGTAAACCATGGAATATTATTCAGCTGTAAAAAAGGAAATAAATTCTGCCATTTGCAACAACATGAATGAACCTGGAGGGCATTATGCTAAGGGGAATAAGCCAGACACAGACAAAAAGTATATGATCTCTGTTATATGTGAAATCTGAAAAAGACGAATTCATAGAAACAGAGAATACAATCATGGTTGCCAAGGGCCAAGGGGACGGGAGATGAGAAGATGTTGGTCACAAGGTGCAAACTTCCAATTACAAGGTGAATAAATTCTGGAGACTTACTGTACAGCGTAGTGACTGTAGCAGTTAACAATACTGGACAGTATATTTGAAAGCTGCTGAGAAAGTAAATCTGAAATGTTCTCACCATGACAACAAACAAGTGGAGATTATGTGAGGTGACGGATGTGTTCACTAACCTTATCGTGGTATGCTAATTTCATAAATATATGTGTATAAATCATCATATTATACACTTTAATTTACACACTGTTATATGTCAATCATATCTCAATAAACCTGTTTGGGGAAAACCTGTAGGTGGTTTCCTTTTGTCACCTAAAACAAAAAACACAGAAACAGCAAACACAGGAAAAGATCACACCACCTCTCTCTGCCTAAAGGCAAGATATAAACTCTCCTTTACCATAGACGGACCCTTTTCAGCCCAGCGACAGCAGCAGAGGAATCTGGAAAACTTACTCCATTACTTTCCTCCCATATATTTCCCTTCCCACGCTTTGCTACCCTGGGAAGCTTAGAACTGTTTTTCACCCTGTCAGTTCTCTACAAATGTATTGTTCTTTGTGAAGATGCTGTATAACCTGGACTTCAAAGTCCCCACTTCCTTTCAGGTTTCTCCCACGTGATGTGCACAACACGTGTTAATAAACTTTCTCTCCTTATTAATCTTTTTATTAGAATGAACCCACCTGAAAAACCTAAGATGAACAGAGGTCAAGTTTTGGCTCTGTTGCACTAGTCTTGACCTCTGATAAGATGGAGGAGAAAGTGAAAACTCCACACTGAGCATTTGTAATTACATATAAGCCCTTTTCTTCGTTCATAGTCCAAAGTCTGCCTGACAGCAAAGTCCAAAAGTATTGCATTCAAAATTCATTTAAAGTAGTTCAAGGTGAATACAAGCCTGCCTATTAACAATACAAATATTTCACCCCTCAAAAAAGTAGCTCTACTTTTTAATAGAATGTTGACAAATAGCCTTCCAAATTTCTTAGACATAAAGACATATATCGAGGAGAAAGGATGGGGAAGGATGTGAGAGAGAGAGGGCAAATATAATATTTTAACATTTAGTTAGTCTGGATAAAGGATATAGGGTAATAATTTGTACTACTTTTCCAGGCTTTTTGTAAATGTGACATTATGTCAGAATAAAAAGCTAAAATAAACAAACAAAAAACCCCAGAGCCATCCTTAAATACTCTCTTTCTCTTCCACGCTGCATCTAATACATCAGTATATCTGACTGGTATGTGTAGACACATATGAGGCATCATTTCTTATTACCTCCACTACTGTCAGACCTGCTGCTGTTAACAAATTGCCGAAGTTTGATTTTCCTTAAATGCTTTCATTTTACCTTATTCCTTGAAAGATATTTCCTACTGGATATGGCCTATTATTTGGGTAGTTCTTTTTGTTTGTCGTTTCAAATTGAAACACCATCAAGGTCTGCCTTCCATGATTTCTAGGAAGCTAACTGCTTGGGGTCTCGCTTCTCTCTCTCTCTCTCTGACTACTGTTGGTATTTTCTCTTCGTCTTTGGTGTCAGCGTTTTGACTATGACATGCTTTGGGAAAAGTGGTGGTGTGAAGACCTTCACATCTCCAGGATTGTCACTGTAGTCCATGTGACCACTAAAGGCTTTTCCGTTTCTCTTTCTCCAGCCACGGGCTCTCTGTCTTGGCTAAGCGTTGAACCACAAAAACAGTAACAAAGTGGCAGGGCACTGACTTGGGCTCCCAGCTCTGGAATCTAAGCTGGGTTCGTGATCCTTCCGTAAATCTCTGATGCCTTAAACATGCATGTTGAAAACTTCTTAAAGAATCCTTTTTTGTTTGTTTGCTTTGACTTTTTTTATTCACTGCATTTTATCTGGAAGCAGAAACTGCCTGCTGAGTCTCTGCTGTATGTTACCAACATTTTCCTTTATCTCCATGAAGATTTCTTAGAACGACTACTTTCATTTTTGTTAAATCTGTGCTATTATTTTTTGTATGAACCAGAAATTTTATTTTGCTGTATTTCTTTCAGAGGGGCTGTGCTCCTAAGGTAGCTCATACTTCTTGTCTGTGGCCCCATGTCATCTGGTAATTTTATCTACCCTGTTTGTGATTGTGTACGGATTTGAATTCCCTGTTCAAGTCTACCTTATAATAGACATAAACCTTGGGTGAGTTTAAAGATTGAGAATACCCTGAAGAAGTCAAAATCTTTCTCACAATTCTCAAAGCTCTGTGTTTTCCGGTTTCTCTTTCCCCCATTTAAGATTGTATTAGATCATTTTCCTATTCCAGCTCGGACATCCAACCACCCTGACCTTCCTTCTATCTGCTGTTTGTTTTTCTCTCGGAGGCACTCTTTTCTCCTGGATCCTTTCCCTCTTTTGTTGACAAAATTATTCATTTCTCCATAAATGTATCAGGAAGGTCTTCCCTAACTTCTCAAGCTAGATCAAATTCTTTGTCATAATTCGGTAACTATCTTTCTCCCGCTTCTAACAACATATTTTATTTGTATTATGTCTTCATCAGTGTGATTACTTAATTAATGTCTGTCTTCCCCTTTAGTGTGAAAGTTCCTTGAAAGCAGACACAGCTCTTTGATTTGTACAACTGTGTGTCTCCCCCACTGAAAGCTCAGTGCCCGGCCAATGGCAGGAAAATCATCCTTGTTTTTGAATGAAGTAAATTCTGTTTACTCCCCTCCAGTGAAGATTATCCATTTTCACACTCTGTACATTTTGTGACTAACAAAGTTTCAACATCTCCTATCTATCTCCACTTGAAAACCATTGTTTTCTATCTTATCAAAAATGTAATTTTTCTTCAAAATTCATTTTTTCAGGTGATTTTATCTTCTTACCCTAATGATCCATTCCTCTCTTAACTGACCATTATGAGGCAAAGAAATACTGGTGTTTTTTATAAACCTAAACAGAAGCTTGAAACTAATAACAAAATTTATTTTGAAAGTACTGGAAGACCTGAACTTCTGAAAACTTGATTTATTTAATACCACTATCCCAGTAATGGAAGGATTTACTTAATACTCCCATCTCAATAATGCTCCATCACATTCTTTATTTTCTTTGTATTATCCAATGTAACTAGTATGTTATTAATCATATTTGTCCTGTTACATATTATGAATTAAAGTTAAAGAATAACATATAGACTTCAATGTTTAATGACATCTACTTTTAGCTAAATAAATATTTCATGTAGTTGAAGTCATTACACTAGGAAATTCCAGGCGTTCTTTCTCTTTTTTTCTTTCTGATGTATTTTGCCTAGCCTGGATACATGGTCTT